GGATTTTGCAATGAAAGACAAAGAAGGTACCAGGGGGTTAGATCCTATTTCACTTACTCACCCAAATGGCACTTATCCAGCCAGAAAAATGCTATTTTTTGCACTTGTGCAGAGTTTGCAATTCTGTCTTTCCCACTGGTGAAATCAAATCACCCTGGGTGTCTACTCACATGCCTGCCAGAAACAAAGAGGATAAAGATGAGGGCAATACTATTGTGTTTTTGCCCAATAGCCTAGCAATTAGGGCACTTATCCAGGAAGTGAGAGACTAAGGTTCCAAGTCCCCCTTACTATTAAATGCACCTTGCATTTAACAGACATCAGCTAAAATAGATGGTGAAAGTTTCTGCCTCACTAGGAGAAAGGGTGTAAGCTAGAACCCAAGCCCCACCCCTCTCTTTCACAGAAGCAATCATTTCACTGAGCCACACATCTTCCCATTTTCTCTTAGCCCCACACATCTCTCAGCTGCCCAGGAGGCCCATCTCAAGGGGAGGACTAGAGAAGAGCTTAGAGGATGCATATCCTCTGGTCTGGTGGCTAGAATACTGTGCTGGAATGAAGTGGGGCCTGGAACTTGAGTACAGGCAGTCCTCGGACTTATGACACAATTGGTTCCTGAAAACCGTGTCTAAATCAGAACCAATTTTCTCACAAGAAACAATGTTATAAATGGGGGATTGGTTCCTGAACCAAGGCCCGATACCCTATTTTCACCAAAAATACCGCAGAATTTTGTACTTGATCCAGTATAGATGAGTAATATAGTTACATTTATGTATTTATATTGTAAATAGCAATCATACTGATTTGGAAGGATTTCTTTGAGATGACTTTGCTGGACTTCTTGAAAGGCTCCTGGTTGGACTTTTTGAAGGGTTCTTGGTTGGAGTCTTCTCAGGAGTGTTGGCTGCAGGTTTTTCTGGAGTCTTGTCTGCTTTCTTAAAGAAAGTGTCCAAGGAAGTTTGGACAGATGTTCTCCAGGAAGATGAGTGATGCAGCAAACTTGGTCGATGGTGTGGCGTTGCATCGGATCAAGCGTTAAGTAGAAACTGACATCATAAAGTTGAAATAAGGTGTTAATTTATAAAAGTTGTAAGTGCGAAACGTTGTAACTCAAAATGTTGCAAGTCAAGGACTGCCTGTATTACACTTCTATGAAGAGTGCCTTAACTATTGGGATATTAGGTTAAAACATGGGAAGAGACCAAGCTAGTCAGTGGCTTTTAGCCAGCTACAATTTCCAGACTTACACAGGTATCCAAGTGAACATTCAGTTTGTCCCCAGAACAGGATCAAAAACTGTGTAAGTATCTCAAGTGGAACTTATATTCCTGGATAAGTGCCATTTGGGCATGTAAAAAGTAAAAAAGGAGCTAGCCCCAGAAGTTCCCCAAACTATTTAAAAGGATATTGCTTGCCTTCTTTACCATTTACTAATATATTCAGGTTAGTATCACTCCCTTGGCAGTGGAGCCTGTGCTTTCACAAAATAGTAGATAACAGATGGAAGGTATGAATCCTACAGCAAATTCTAAGCCAAACAATGCAATACATGCCTTTATATAGCTAGAGGCATCTCTCCAGAATGTAGAGAAAATTATTTTTGTTCCAGATTTTTTTAAGGATTTTTCTCTTCACACAAGCAGCACAAGTTAAGCCAAGTCTTTCAGACACTCATTTGCCTTGGATGGCACAACTGTCTCAAATACCATGTGTATTGACTCTTATTAGTCAGTCTTTAAGAAGTGCTTCTCTGGCACTTTAGCTCAGGGGAACAATTTCATTTCCCATTCTTTAAGTTTCTTCCTGAGTTCCCAAAGTTCATAAATAGATTTGTTCATTGTGAATGACAGTAGCAACTGAATGGGTCACTGCTCTTGCTATTATAGTGTTAGTGGAGACTGTCAGCAGACAATTTCTACTTTCCCTTGTGAGAATGGAATTTCTGGCCATGCTGGCTTACTTACCAGAATCTGTGTTCAAATTCTTGCTTAAGTAAAAACACACAGCATTTAGACAGCTCATTACATATGTACATCCACAGAAGAAGTGCCATTTTATTAAAAAAAAACCTATTAAAAATTAAACATTTTAAAACAACCTTTTCACTGTAGTACTGGTGGTGATTTGCCTCTAGTGTAGCCAGAGGGTGGTTAATTGTATAGGAGGCAACCCTTAGAGCAGGGATGGGCAAAATCCAGCCCACAGGCCAAATCCAGCCCACCAGGCCATTCTATCTGGCCCATGGGACCCCTAACAAAATTTAGAAAATATTTATCTGCTCCGGGCTGCCTGTCAAAGGCGACAGGAGCCAGGGACAGTAGGACCCAGGAGGAGCTGGCAGTAGGAGCCAGGAGCCCAGCCCTGCCCACCCGCAGCCATTTCCCTGCTACCTGCCCCCGCCCTACTCCAGCACCATGTGGCTCCTGGCAGCATGGCCAGACCAGGGAGCACGGGGACCCACCAGTGCATAGAGTATGTGTGCCTGCACACATAGAGCATAGAGTGAGTGGGTATGTGTGTGTGTAGGCAGGAGCAGAGTGTGTGTGTAGGCAGGGGCACTGTGTGTGTGTGGGTGGGTAGGTGTGTGTGCAGGCAGGGGCAGAGTGTATGCATGTATGCAGGTAGGGGCAGAGTATGTGTGTGTGAATACATAGGGTGAGTCCCACACCAGGAACAGCACACCCCACCAACTTGGAAGCTGGTTCCAGACCCTAGCCACCCCACAGCCTCTCACATACCCCAGCCACCCTCCCCTCACACACAGTTCTCCCACAAACCCCATACCCACCCACACTCCACATAGTTTCATAGTTGGTAGGGCCGGAAGGGACCTGAGCAGATCATCAAGTCCGACCCCCTGCCATGGCAGAAAAAAGTACTGGGGTCAAACGACCCCAGCAAGATGTTCATCTAAGGTGTTCACATATCCACACATACACCCACATGCTCCCACACCCCCACAGCCCCCCACAAACCTATACCCCCCCACAATATGCAAGCATAACATTTCATTTTAAGCTATTGTGCAATCACCTTACATACACTCTACAAGTGCATGCAAATCTGGGCAAAAATATTTTTTGAAATCAAATTAATGAATGTTTTAGATGTTCACTTTTTAGAATATAATTTTGTATTTTTCTGGTTCCAAGATGGCAAAACCCCTTGCTGAAAGGAGTACTTCTGGGGGCACAGGAGGGACTTCTAGTGGCATAGGTCAGGGGTTAGGCGGTGGGACTTATGGTCCCAAGATGGCAACCAGGGGGTGGGGCACTTGTCAAGGGGCAGGGCTACCCATGCAGCTCTCAACAGCTTGCCAAAACTTGGTAAGCAGACTTCCACCCAAAATAATTGCCTGCCCCTGCCTTAGAGGCAGTGGTTGCCATGTTTGCTGTTTGTCAAGATGAGGTATAAGATTTGCAGAAGGCATGGCTGTTATTGGGGCAGGTAGGGTGGGGGTGTGAGGTCACGATGCTGGGTTATAACAAAATTCAAACAACATGAATAAATCCTGGTATGAATGTTATCCTAGCAGTATTGTATCTACTACTCGGGAGACACCAGCGTGAGATGGGTCTGTCCATCTAACAGTTTGTTAACAGCACTGTGATAGCTTATCACGACACCAGAATATTCAACAGAGGGTGTTCCTGTGTTTAAAGGATGAATGCTACAGAGTTAGGAAAGAGACTGCTGGTCAGAGAGCTTGTTTGTCAGACACTGGATAGGGAGCTTGAAGTTGAGCTACGGATGAATACTGGTGCAATAGCTCCTTGCTTCTCTCCTCACTCTTACCTCTCCATGGATGCTTAGAAGGTTTAGCAGTAACTGAGAAGCATAGAACATTCACTGGATCTAGGCTCCAACACCATATTATCTAGGACAGAGCTGCAGCAATGCAGACAGACTGGGAGCTAGTGCTCTTCTTCCACCAGAGACACACAAGGATTTTTGCTGCCCTAGGCAAAAAAATATTGCCAACCTCTCTTGTAGCATACCTGAGACCTGGCAAGGGTGGGCATCAGAGCCCTGGAGTGGTGGCTCAGCAGTTTGCTTGTTTGCTTCTGCACATGCTCAGACTCTGCAATAGGTACCAACTTATTTTTCCCAGGGCGGCGGGGGTGGTTAAGATGATGGACATTTGGAAAGTTTTATGCATTTCTGGTGAAAGCCCTTTTCTCTAGAGGACCAGGGCTGTTGGCCCCCACTTACTCAGTACCTCTGCCTGAGGCAGCCCCCCAGTAAGCATGTGCAAGGTACGTGCACACCATTTTTGCTGTCCCTTTCAATTTGCTACAGCCTCCTGTGCTGTCTGGCTGGTTATGCTGATCTTGCTCTTCTACCAATGCAGCCTCATAGCTTCTTGCTTGCTGTTACTAAGGAGACATTAAGCCACACAGCTCTTCTGATGAAGCACATCCTTCATGAAGAAAGGGTCCTTCCTAGAAATACCATACCATCATCCCCACAAACTGATGAGTACCAAAAAAGTTTACTTCTATCCTCTGACTCATAGAAACAGTGATCAGTTAGGCAATTCTTCCAAATAATAAGGAACAGGAAGAGCTAATACCAACATCAGTGCATTTAGGCTGATTCAAAGACTTTATGCCCCTTTGTACCTGGGCACAATTGTTAAGTCTTGTAATGGATCTATTACTGTATCATGATGCAGTTATCTACTGGGATGCTCATCTTTTTTTTCCTTCAAATTTAGGTGGAAACTTCCAAAGGTACAGCTGAGAATGAAGCATCACATTCTCATTGACTCTCAGTGGGAAACAGATGTTTAACTGCCCTTGGAAAATTTCCATTTTAGTATTCAGAAAGAGGTGACATCCAAAATCAGCTGTTTAAAAACAAAACAAAACACAGAACGAGTACAGTACGGGCAATAACAGTACAAGTTTCATCATGCCATTCTGACAACATACCTGACCCCTAATCAGGGGTCTGAGTTCTTTAAAGTTGTGAAATTATTTCAGTCTTCAGGGATGCATCAGTCCACTGCTTTTCAATCAAAACTATTAAAAGCAGGACCAATCATGAGGATTTTTATTTCTTGTTGCAGTGTGTACTTCTGTTTAGTGGAAGCTGGATTAAATAAAAATACACAATCTTAAAGGTATTTTGTTTTGCCTTTTAAAATCAAGACATAGCTTAATCTTGAAAAAATGATTTAAGTACTTAGTAAAATATAGGCACTTACTTATTATCACCACAGCATTTGCTCTTAAAAGCTGTTTTAGCTGACAGATGATATTCTAGCCTTGAGAAAGAAAAAAGAAATAGCTTAGGGTTTATAGTTTAAAAATGATAATCGACTGATTAGTTGTGCAAAGTTTCTCTATATAGATGGCACTTAGAAACTACTTGTAATAGCCCTCTAATGTTTTTACCAGGGAGATTTTTCCTACATCCTGGAAATGACATCACTCATTTAAAAACAGAACCATGCTGACAAGAACTGAACCCCCCGCCC